TTATGTAATCCTTTGTGGTATTGAAAAAAACGGGATTGTGCGCCCAAAGATTATAGAACAACACAGACAACCACACGGTAGTATTGCGATTACCGTGTCAACGTGGAGCAGCTGGTCATGCAAAGCGCAGGGACTATACAAGAGGAGACCTACAAATCGACAATTGACGATTGTCGAGTTGACATGAAACAGGCAGAATCAACGTAAAATCGGGCAAGATGCTGCGACTGAAATGTTTTGATTCAAAAATGTGGGAAATCGTAGCTGCATAGATATACAATGGGAGAATGTACTTGTCTTCGGTATTGGTGCTCTTACATGGAATTGAATAGGATACGATTGCGATAAACGGAAGCAAGAAAGTAGCGAAAGCCTAAAAGGGAGGTAACGGAAAAACCATAAATGTAGGAGCCGAAGCGAGACAGTGAAGCGACTGGAAGATGAGCCTTCTGATGACGAAGAGGACGACGGGGACTCGGAGAGGTTGAACTTCGGGGGATCGTCCTCGATAACAAAAAGGAACCGGCAAATAGCCTGGCCACGAGAGTTTGGGATGGAGATCCGAGATTGGATGACCGAATGACGGATGGCAAGCAACGAGTAAAATATACAGTGAGAGACGCTCGCCAAATTCCCGGTCATCGAGCGTATTGATTAAGTGCCCAACGTCCTGCCTTCGTGTCATACAACAACCAGTAGGCACACTCCGTCCGACACGATGCGTGGAGCACGGAATACTGAGAACGGATTCAACCCGGCCGCCGGCAACAACGTGACTGCCTCCAAACTCTACTTGGAGTGACGCGTGGGTCGTGTAGAAAGGCGCGTCCATATCCCGTTGATCTTGCGATATTCGGCGTGGGACGGAAATACTACCCGAATTAATGTCTACCCGTCGGAGACGTGGCCCAAACCGCGAAAGAGCGGGGAGAGAGATGACAAAGGCGGCGACAAAGGGACAGGTAACGGGAATATGCATCGCATGGACAGCGGTATTCACGGAAAGCGGGAGGTGGGGTGTGGGTAATGCGCAATGACAGCATGTCCGGCACGATCCGTCATACGTTGGATAACATACGCATGTCGTCCCAGAAGAGCATTGGCAGTTCGCGGCCGAAGTAAAGGCGCGAGAGGAGCGAGCGAATGATACGCAGGAGTGGTCAGCAGGCAAAATTCTTGACGAGGGGATCGAGTCCAGAAGAAAACGGCTTACCGGACACACGTACGACCACTGGATGCAAAGCTCTAATTCGTCGCCCCTGTCTTTGGACTGCTGCTGGAACGGATAGGAGTGCCGGTTTTCGGGACCGTCAAACCGTTGCGCGTTGAAAGCGAGGCACCGGAACTGGATACTCGTGGCGTCGCCGTCTGCGCCTTCGTAGACCATCGTGTGCTTGTCCTGACCTGAGGCATTGTCGCGCTCCGTGCTACCCACAGAATGACAATTCCGTGTTTCAGCCTCAGTCGGGGACAAGTCGAGGTAGGCTAACGCTTTGAAGTCCACGAGTACGCTGACCAACGCATGCAACATCCTCTAGAAAGCGCAGAGCAATGGAACAAAGAAGCGGACAAATGTTGCACAGAGATGGACGGTCAAAGGGACATTATGAACGGGAAATCGCGACGGCCGCGCCACGCGCGTAGATGTAAGGAATTAAAGGTTGGAAAGAAGAAAGATCGCGATGGCGGTGGATAAATTGCGGGGGGAAGAGAACGGGAAAACGCGAAGCGGGCACGAAGAAGCAGCGGAACGACGGACGTCGTGTGAAACGAGAGCAAAAATCAAAGCGTGGTCTATAAGAGGACAAAGCAGAGAAGGGTACTCACGATACCCGACATGGTGTAGTGCAGGGTGTGCCGGAGGGCGAGGCGTATCTTGATGCCCTCCACAACGGGGAAATACACGGCGACGCTGCGAAGCAGCCCAGGCCGCACCGCCATGGTTGCGAGGTCTAAGTAACGCACCGGCACGCTCGTGCGCGCCAGCCGCGCGAGGTGCACCGCGAAGTCATCATCCTGTCCCGAAAGCGATAGGTAATGCACAGGACGTCCGGGAAGGAGCGCGGCTGCCGCCGCAGGCGATCCGCGAAAGGCGCATAACACCGGGAGCGCGCCTGCAGGCAACGGGTTTGCGAGCAGCGTGTGGGACCGAGCTGCCTGCACATGATCGTCGAGGTGCTCGTGTAGGCGCAGGTGTGTGAGACGCGGCACGTGTGAAAGAAATTCGACAAGCTGAGGTGCCGACGCACTTGATGGAGCCGAGAATGACGGAATTACCTCCAAAGGCGCTTCCGCGCTGAGAGCGCAGTATCGCAGCGCCGGAAGGCGGCAGTGGCGAATAACGACGTTGACATCGACTTCGGGCCCAAGCAGGAGCTCGAGACGCTCCAGCGCGACGAGACTACGCAGAACGCACGAAATGCGGGCACACACAGCTGACATACGCTGAGAATCGGCGTGGCTGTGATCAGCCGCATTAGCTGTACACAGGTTGCTGCGGTTGTATGGAGCCGCAAATCGCGTGGCACCACCAGTCTGCCACCGAATGCTGAATTGTCGGACTATACTCGTAAGGTGCGGTCGGCGCAACAACGAGTCGCAACAGCGCAAGGTCCGCATGGGCAGACATACCCGCTCTTGAGGACGCTCGGAAAGAACACATTCCATCAAATGTTCAGAGATAACAATTGATGAGTACAGAACGCGTTCTGCAACAGCGCAGAGGTGGCGGCAAGTCTGTGAGAGCGCGCAGAGGTCGGTGGAGCGCAGGTGCTCAAGGATGGCAATGAGCAGTTCATTGGGCAGGTCAACAAGGTGTGGACACAAAGGGCAGGCAGCAGTCAGTGCGAGCGTCGACAAGCGCACAGCGCAACGAGATGCAGCGCGGGACATCACACAGTCAGAACGAGGTTGCGGTCGAGGAGACAAAAAAGCAGGCCATGGGAGTACCATGGGGGATAGAAATACTACATGGGTGCGAGGCAAACATGCAGACCTGGGTTAGCTGAATAGTCGGAAGCGGAAATCGCAGTTTCTCGCGGCGATACCCCGGAAACAGGTGACAAGAGCAGACGGCGAATTGAGGGAGATTTGGCGGAGATGACAGACAAGAACCAAGGTGCCTGCACTGCGCATAAACTGTATGCGATTAGCGAACAAGATGCAAGGACCACAATCGACTCGGAGACGGGCACAGCCCAACAACGTAACATCTCACCGTCAACGAACCAACAGCCCGAGAAGCCTTAACGACACTCCAACTCACGGACGGAAGCGCACAGGGCGCAAAAGATGGAGCGAAAGAGAAATCAGATAAGATATAGTGGGATAAAAGTACATGTACACTAACAGAATATACAACCTAGAGCAGAAAAAGAGACGGGGCGAACAGCTCATGCACCGAAACCGTACAGGGTCTTCCCTGACCTCTTCAGGGCGTACACAACATCCAGCGCAGTAACGGTCTTCCGCTTGGCATGCTCCGTGTACGTTACAGAGTCACGGATAACCTGCACGTTTAGTAAGACACGGGTCGGATCCAGACAGCCATGACAACAGCTTACATTCTCAAGGAAGATCTTGAGGACACCACGAGTCTCCTCGTAAATCAAACCAGAAATACGCTTAACACCCCCACGACGGGCAAGACGACGGATAGCGGGCTTTGTGATACCTGCCAGTACGATCAGTTCTGCGACACAACACTCGCTGTGACGACCGACGCACCCTGAATGTTATCACGAAGAATCTTGCGATGACGCTTAGCACCGCCCTTTCCGAGACCCTGAAAACAGAGTAAGCACCAGCCACCAGCCCACGAATGCGAAGTCACCTTGCCACCCTTTCCACGTCCAGACATTGAGAATTACAGTAAGTTTCGAAAGGTCAACGTTCGCGAGGTAAGCTTCGAAGTGAATGGCAAAGAGTCAGACGACGATGAAGGAGCCAGTCAAAAGAGGGCCGACAGCTTATATACTCCTCACGGTGGCTGTGCTATCACGCGAGTCACACCCGTTTGTTGAACGATCACGTGTACCATCTGGACTCATATAAAGCAGAGCCGCCCACGGCTTAGCCTCTTCCATCGTTTGTCCACCGTTATCCGCCTTCGAAGCTTCAAGCTTGTCTCTGAATTTATAACTTTTCGAAATGGCTCGCACCAAGCAAACTGCCCGCAAGTCAACCGGTGGTGGGTCTTCCCCGTAGTCGCGCCGCATGCATCGAGTTCACCCTTCGTGTAGGAAAGGCGCCGCGTAAGCAGCTTGCCTCGAAGTCTGCTGCCCGCAAGACTGCCGTGCGTAGTCCGTAATATCTTTTATGTTGTGTTATTGACTTGGTCTACAGGCTGCAGCTGGCGGTGTGAAGAAGCCTCACAGGTTCCGCCCTGGTACTGTTGCCCTCCGTGAAATCCGTCGTTACCAGAAGTCGACGGAGCTTCTCATCCGCAAGTTGCCCTTTCAGCGGCTTGTTCGTGAAATCGCGCAGGATTTTAAGGTATGTGGGTCTCATACATTGGTCTGATACCTCGCTTACCGATTGCTGCAGACTGATCTGCGCTTCCAATCCTCTGCAGTCATGGCCCTTCAGGAGGCTGCTGAAGCTTACCTAGTCTCGCTCTTTGAAGACACAAACTTGGCGGCTATCCACGCCAAGCGTGTCACAATACAACCTAAAGATCTCGCGTTGGCTCGCCGGTTGCGCGGTGAACGCTCGTAGAGGCTGGGCTCGTTTTCTGTCTATCTCGCACCTGGTCTAAGTTATGGTTTTGCAGCTTGTATCATTACTGTTTATTCTATGTTGGCATAGTACATATGGTTTGTGCCTTGTGAATAATCTATGCACATTTTGGAGCAGCTATCGTCCGTGCAGCGTTCGCAGATTAGAGTTTGCGGTGCTGTTAGTGCGATTTTGAGCAAAGCCTATGGTTTATCTCTGTTCTAGCCGTGTGGTTTGCGCAAAGGAAGATCGCGGCGCAAAAAAGGGGGTTCAATGGATTCAAAAGGTGGAACCAGGACTCGAACCTGGGTTATGGGAAGACAACCAAATCTATTTGACATATCAGAATCCCATGTGCTAACCGCTACACTATACCACCACAATACACGGAAAGCACTTATGGGTATATATCAGTCGGCATTTGAGCTGATCGGAACACATTGCCATCTAGACTTGCATGTATTTTCCTGGTTATCCATCTTGTAACTGCATTGCATACGCTCATCTTTGGCGTGTTCGCTCGCTAGCATTATTCGCGTCGCTTTTTGAGACACGTATTCATTCTATCTGATTATCTAGACTTTTTCTAGATTTTCTCCTTGCCATTCTTTTTCACAATGGCGACGTCCAGCGCCGACGCCACGTCCAATGTCGGCCAGCTGTCTCCCATATCCCAGGTGCTTCGGACGCTCGGGATTACTCGCGAGGATCTTCTAAAACGCAGCGCGCAAATGCGCGAGTTTCTCAACGAAGGCGACTATGAAACAGCCATCGCTTCAGGCGCGTCTGACATCGCTCAGTGCGGCGGGCCAGCTGAGTACGGTCAGTCGGAGTCCCAGTCGGAGTCCGCCTCTGCAATGTCGTCTGGGGGGTGTTCCAAGTCTCAGTCGACATCTGCGTCCTACACAGACGCGTCGCACAGTCCTGCGGTGAAGGAAGAGCCATGTGAAGCTCATCTGCCGTCACCGCGCACAACTGCAGAAGCAGAAAATAGAGGCATCGGCCCGCCTAAGGACGCGACGACGCCGGCTGATAGTAAACTGGCCAATGTAGAGCGCAAGCTGCACGCTGCAGACGCGTCGTATACGCTTCCGGTAATGTTGCTCTCCGTCACGCGTTAGTCGTCTCGCTAAGAATGTACTGAAAGCGTGTTCCTATGCTCACGCCATCACAAAGCAAATACTATAGACCGCACACAGCGGTGGACTCGTTCCGACCACCCAGTCAGGCACGTCTTAACCGCGAAGAGTCCCGGGATTTGCCACTAACTCGTATTCTACGCAGGCTGGTCCTTCAACCAGCACATACACGCGCTCCATGTATCAATATCTTTCGGCGGTGCAAATCTTAGGCTTGGCTCCTGCTCCCACCACTCCTCATATGTCGAGAGCACATAGTTCGAGTGATTTGCCGCCCTCCTCTCCCCCCGCTGGCACCCCTCGGACGTCTCCTGTGCGCAAAGATTTTACATCGTCGTCAGTAGCTCCTTACCACGCACTACCGTACACTCTTCCTCCGGGGCCCTACTCTCATGAGAAACCCACACATCCATATGCTGCTATCGTCGGGCAAGCGATCCTGTCGTCGCCCAGTCATCGCCTGACGTTGCAGGAAATCTACGACTGGATCACCATCGTATACCCGTATTATAAGCGGGGTGACACTACGTGGATGAATAGCATCCGCCACGTATTGAGCACAACAGTGTGCTTCCGGAAGGTCCCGCGCGAGCGAGCCATCGGGCGTAGTCTGTGGGCGATCTGGGACGAAGACTTGCCTTGTTTCGAAGGCGGAGGGTTCAAGAAGAATAAGTGTAAGGACATCATGGATTTGAAAACTCGCAAAGAGAAGTCCGAGTCGCCTGCCAAGGGCAAAGGGAAGAAACGCGCTTCCGATGATGATTCAGAATCTCCGCAGGCCAAGAGGACAAGGAAGACGACCGCGAGCGCAGACCTACTGAACGGACAGGTGCCCGTTCTGCAAGCCAATCCGCTTTTCTTGCCCAGTCTGTCTGCGCCCATGACCCACCAGCAATCTTACTATGAAAGGTGTGTACAGCAACAACCCCGGCCACCATCGCAATCCCATGTCATTTTCCCGCTTTTACCGCCATCGTCACCGCTTTCGCCCTCATCTCCTGCCCTGCGCGGTGCCTCTTCACCTGCTCCAGACCCCGATGAATTGCAATATCCGTCGTCTCCTGAGCTCGGAGCGCCCATGTCACCCGGACCTGCCACCGACCCGCCACCGACCGATCCGCCCACGTCCTCAGCATTGTCAGAAGATGACCCCATTCTCGATGCACCCAGCTCTCCCGCGTGCGATGGTGGATCATCCTCCGTTCCGGGCCTCACCCCTCACAACAGCTCGAGCCCTCCGACGTCCGTGCCGGCGACGGACGATATCAGCGGCCCCATCGTCGATCCTTCCATAGATGACCCGTTTCAAGACGGCGCAAACGCGATTTCCAGTGAAGCTGAACCTTTAAGTGATGGCAGCGAATTCCTGCAGTTTGACGATGACGAGGAAGAAGAGGAAGAGCAGAATTGCAAGGACGGCGCCGATTCCAAAGTGGGATGGTTCTCGTATGGGTCTACCTCTGAGGCAGATGGAGACGAGACAATCTCATCCAGCTCCTGGTCGGTTTTCCGGTCCCCCGGCGCGAAGAGGATCGCAGAACCACCGCCACGACTGCATCCCGTCACGATGTGGGGTGATACAACACCTGGCAACAGGAATATTCCCTTGCCTGTCACGCCGCCACCGCGGTCGACTCCTTTACAAGCAGGCGTTGAAATCCTGGCGGGTGCCGCCGACAAGGCAAGACTATCCTCTACTGCCGACAGATCAACGTCCTCAAACGCGGAAGATGAAGAGAGGTGGCCCGGAGCACCCTTCACGCCGCCTTCTAAGCTGGCACGCAAACTGACGAAAGCCAAGTTCTCAATTGATTCGTTTGGTCGACCGACGGTCACTCTGAGGCGGTCTACCTCCGAGATTGAGGAGCCAACGACACCACCACCCCGAGTGAAGCTCTCGCCGGTGCACACGCCTATCTCGCACAAGGGCGTGCATATGAGCCCGTCAACGAATCTTGCCCATTACAAGTTGAACCTCGATCCGCCGTGTCCGCGTAGTCTGGGGGGCAAGCTGCCGGCGTTCTCGCAGACAATGCCACCGTCCACGCCGCCGCGCCCAACCTTCCCCTTCGCGTCGGACGGCGCGACGAACACTCCGCGCAGGTCGTACCTGCCCGGCACGCCATCTACGGGCGGCCATGGATCCGGCAAGTTCCTGATGCTCATGCGCAATGCGTCGCACGAGGATCCTTTCGACGCTGGTCAGCTGCTTGATGGCGAGCTAAGCAGGCGCGTGGGGAGGCTGGGGGATAGTCCTGCAGCCGGACTATTTGCAAGGAAAAGTCAGCTGCTGTATCAGAGCCCGAGCGATTTCTTTGGCGCTTCGCAGCCTGCAATCGAAGGCAGTCCTTCCACGAGTTCATGGTATTGACCGATGCGCGCTCCGTGATCTCGCTGTTTCCTTTCTTCGGGCATCCCCCCCTCCACCCGTCCTCTGTTTTGTCTCACTGTGCTCTTTTGATGTATCTCTATCTGCGCTGCTGTTGTTGCCACTCTACGTTTCCTCCCCCATTCTCCTGCCTGCCGTCCTGTTGTGTCTACGTACTCAATTTTTCCGTCATCCTGAACCATCTGCAACAATTTTTTTGTGTGTGTAATCTAAGACTGTATTATCATGTTGCGATATCAACCTCAATTTTTTTTTTGGGGACCTCCTCAATATCTGCCTGCCTACTTGGCGCTCCGTATCTCACACAATTAGTTAGATGCATGGGTTTTCTGACTTTTTTTTTCTTCATCAAATTTATGATGCGACCTGACGTTATAAACAAATATGTATGTATATACGCTGTACGTATCTTTCCTTCGAAGTTTGCATTATACCTGAATTCGTTCCATAACATTAGTAGTCTGGGACATAGGTATCCTTATTTGTTCTTTTTCCCTCCGGTCTGATTGTCGGAAGCGGCTGGTATGTCTGGTCTGTTGAGTTTATGTTCTCTTAATTTTGAAGTATGGATTAACCTGACAAATCCGGAGTACGTACTGCACCATCTACTTGGGACATCGCGCTCCTTGTCAAATGTTAGGGTGGGTAATATATATGGGAAATCGTAGAAATTGCTATACACATTCTAGATTCGCTCTTTCATGGATCCCCGACACTGCAGAATGAATGTAAACCAGAACATGGTATTATCTGCGTGTACAATACCAATTATGGGAATCACAACTCCCACAAATTCGTAGCAAAATAGGATTTCTCAACCACACAAGCTCTAGTAATGGACAAGAAATTAGTCTACGTAGGTATCGCTTACTTGCCGCCAGTGGTACCCATGCCCATGGCCGATTTGAAGCTGTCGTAAATCCACCATTGGAAGCCTGCACAGGTGACTCATCAATATACCAAACCAGGCGATAACCGACGAAGACGCGTACCAGTGAGCGTGCCGATCATGATGACACGGGTCGGCAGGCCTTTGGTCATCAAGGTCGCAATGCCAGTCTCGCTGGCGATAGTGCCAATCGACTTGCCTTTGTTCTCCGCCTTACCGAGCAGGGAGACAAGCGAGTCAGCGGGGTGCGAGACGACAGCACAGACGATACCAGCGAGGTAACCAGACGCAAACGTGATACCGAGCTGCGTGCTCTTGCCGTAGGTGTCCTTGGGCTTCGTGAAGACGTGTGTGTAGAACAACTGGACGATCTTCTCAAAGAAGAAGAATTTCGCCATGGTGTATGGGATCTGGAGGAAAGATAGCGCTCAGCACCGACTGTCAAAAACCGGAAGCCAGAATGTGGAACAAACCTGACGCGACCACAGTGGGACAATCGAACCGAAGGGGTAACGAGTCGACGCCTTTTGGACACTCATCTGCTTCAGGGCGGCACCAAAGGCGGTGGGGAAGGCGCCAACTGGGCTCGTCTGGATCTTGACCTTGGTCATCTCCAGCGGGCAGAGGGCGAAATCGGCGAAGAACTCCGCCGATGCGGAGCCAGCCAACCAAATGGCGGGCTTGTACTTTTCGGCGGCATCCTTGCCGGCCATGTTCGCATAGAGATCTTTGAAGACCTCGTAGAGACCGTATTTGAAGAGTCCCTGGAGCGAGTAACCGACAAAGGTGGGGCCAACACCTTTCCAGATACCGGTCGCGCCTTCCTCCTTCATGAGCAGCCTGACCGCGGAAATGGTGCCATTATACTTCCCGGGGCTGACCTAGGAGAAAACCAAAAAGAAGTTACAGCACTTCCTTAGAAACGCATGGTAAAACTAACCTGCATGTTACACTTGGCGACA